TACATACATACATTGCATACATTGTTTACGTATGTGATACTCTCTAAAATGGCGCCAGGGTGACACGGAGGAGACGAAGGGTGCTTCTCAAACGGAAGGCTGCATCCTTCCTAGATCAGTCTTTCAGAGGCTTGTGTGCTAGAGTATTCCTCGGCATTAAACGCTAGAATGAGACAGTCTAGTAAGTGCGCGTGGCTACGTCACATATGTTCCCGCCCTCATCGCCACGGCATGAAAATACTAATAAAACTTTGTTTTGGAAAAATACTTTGCATTACAAATCATTATATTATTTGGCTTTCTATTAATGCAATACAATGAATCACAGCCGTCTAGTCTCCCAGTGACTTAGGTTATTGGCAGTTTAGCGTTTAGTAAGTAATTTACACCAAAACAAAAAATAACATCAATGCTTTCATGTCAAAAAATATTATTTTTGTCTTACATTTCATAATAAATTCAGACAAGCTCAGTACTGAATCGTTTTTCGTCAGTTTATTTTCATGAAATGGAATGGGTACAAAGGATTGTGGGTGATTGAAGGTCACGGAGGATACATCCCATGCATCCTTCAAATTCAGCTGAATGATGGACACGAAACAAAGGCTGCATTCCAAGGATCCTTCCGATTGAGATGGCCTTCAGCGACGTTTGATGACGTGGCAGTCGAGATATGCAACCTTCGGAGGATGCAGCCTTCCGTTTGAGAAACACCCGAATTGTTGAATAAAGTCGTTCTTTTTGTTTTCTTTGCACACAAAAAGTTCTTCGTAGCTTCGTAAAATTATGGTTAAACCACTGATGTCACATGGACTATTTTACCTGTGTCCTTACTACCTTTCTGGGTCTGGAAACATTTCCGTATCTCTCTATGGAGGGCCAGAAATCTCTTGGATTTCATCAACAATATATTAATTTGTGATCTAAAGTGGAACAAAGGTCTTATGGGTTTGGAACGACATGAGGGTAAGTAATTAATGACAGAATTTTCATTTTTGGTTCAACTGAATTGTTTTTTTATGGCCTTCAGCGACGTTTGATGACGTGGCAGTCGAGATATGCAACCTTCGGAGGATGCAGCCTTCCGTTTGAGAAACACCCGAATTGTTGAATAAAGTCGTTCTTTTTGTTTTCTTTGCACACAAAAAGTTCTTCGTAGCTTCGTAAAATTATGGTTAAACCACTGATGTCACATGGATTTAATGATGTCCTTACTACGTTTCTGGACCTTGATTGCGTCAGGATCCTTGCTGTCTATGGGAGGGTCAGTGAGCTCTCGGAATTCATCAAAAATATCTTAATTTGTGTTCTGAAGATGAACGAAGGTCTTACTGTCAGCAAACACACGGAGAACACAAGGGTAAGTCAACAAATCAGCAGGTTTATTTACAAAGGAGGCAGGTGAAAGCAAGTTCTCTGTCCCAAGGCGAGTATACTGAGCACGGAAGGAGTTTCGGATGCTTATCTGGCCGGAGTAAGCAGTCTCTCTCTCTTTGCAGGTGAGCCGCAGGAACAATGGATCGTAGGAGCGCTAGAGCACGTGGAACGGGTCGTCAGGAAGCTTGCAAGTAAGAGTCAGGTAAGTACGCATAACAACTGCGAGACCAGACAATGTGACAGTGCGGAGAGTGCAAGGATGTAGGGAGCTTGATTAGCAGTGACAGGTAGTGGTGATCAGTAATCGGTTGATTGGGACCTTGTTAGCGTGATGGGTGGCGTGGTTGAATCCCTGACACTTACAGGTTTGGAATGACATGAGGGTGAGTAATTAATGACAGAATTTTCATTTTTGGGTGAACTATCCCTTTAAGGATATGAGCGCCAATTACTTAGCTAATGTGCATAACAATGAACAAAAGGATCTTCAACTCACATACAGTACAGTTCAAAAGTTTGGGATTTGTAAGATTTTTTTATCTTTTTGAAAGAGGTCTCTTTTGCTCACCAAGCCTGCATGTATTTGTTCAAACAGTAATATGTCGAAATAATAAAAATAGCTTTTTCTCTCTTAATATATTTTTAATTGTAATTTATTTCTGTGATGACAGAACTGAATTTTCAGTAGCCATTAATCCATTCCTCAATGTCACATGATCCTTCTAAAACCATTATAATATGGTGAGTTCTAATTCTTATCAATGCTGAAAATAGATGTGCTGCTTAATATTTTTTGTGGAATTTTTTTTCTTTTTTTAGGAGTCTTTAATGAACAGAAGGTTCAAAAGAACAGCATTAATTTGAAACAGAAATATTTTGTTACACTATAAATGTTTTACTGCCACATTGACCCCAAACTTTTGAACATCTAGCACTACAGTCATGAAACACCATATTTATGAATATGTAAAAAGTTCCCAGTGGCTATATTGTATTCTGAATGTATTCATATCTTAAGGCTGCTGTTAGACACAATGCTTTCATCTCATAGCTGTTATTATATGAGATTTTAGTACGGCTGAAGTGCTATATTAACCAACTGGGAGCCAGAACCTGAGCGATGCAAACTTTAATACTAAAATATGCAGCTAAATATAATAAAACAATAAAATTTACTTTGTAGAGGTAAATCCTATAAATATATACAGTACTTGCTGGGTTTGATTACAGAATAGGTTTGCTATTTGCAGAAGAAAGAAAATCATGAACAACCATGCAGTATAGGGAACATTCAGGGTTTTATTTCATGTCAATTTCCTTTCCATCAGAAGGAAATTGCTATACAGCACTCAACGTCAGAGGTTATCTTAATTTCAACCATGTTGCTCTGAGCGTCAAAACTGTAGACAAAGGTATGATGCAACTAGGCTCAGCTGCGTGATATTTCTAACAGCTAATCTTGTAATTTGATGAAACGTGCTTAATTTATGTAACTGATTTTCTATTGACATTTCATTGATTAAATATGTAATCACCCCTTTCGGGTTTTTTTCTCTCCCAAGGGAGTCATCATAACAAAGGAGCAACTGAAATGATTAGGAGCAATAATTGTTCACTTGACATGGACTGTTTAATTAATTAAACATTTATTTTGATCTTATACAATTTACAAGAAACGTGTCCATCTGTATGTATACAAATATGTATATGCATATGTACACTATCAGTCAAAAGTTTGGAATATTTACAATTTTACTTAATAGTAAAATACTTAACAATTTATATTATATTATATTAGACCTATATTATATATTATATTATATTATATTATATTATATTATATTATATTATATTATCATTAAAAGATTAAGTGGCAAAAAATGTTTTTAACCATTATTAATAACTGAACACCAAATCAGCATATTTGAATGTTTTTTTAATGATAATGTGACACCGAAATCTGGAGTAATGACTGATAAACTTAGCTTTCAGAGGACTAAATTAAATTTCAAAATTAAATAATGAATTTGTACTAAATGGGAAATTAAAAGTGAAATATTTATGTGCCACTGTTTGTTCTATAAATGATCCTCCATAGACATTTATAGTATGTGTTTGCTCGTAAAACAGATATCTTAATATATACTCGCCATGCACACTTACAACCTTCCCTCTGTGTGTGATGTGGGTGTGTGAGCGTTGGTGTCTATGGTTGAAAGGTCATTGTGAGAAAATATGAAAGGCTGAGTGAGATGCTTGCCCGCAGTGCCGGCCACTCACACACTGACTGCTTCCTGCATCAGGGCACAAGCTACTTACACATAGTAGCATCACTCTTGAACCCCCCCGGGATGAAGAATTCTTTCATTACCTCAAATTAGACGTCCAGCGCTGGGTTCACGCCTGCTATCAGATACCTGTGGTGGACAGAGGGAGAGCTTTAACGAGATCATGTGTTGAGAAAGGCTCTGCTGTCATCTTATACACTCCCATAAGTACAGCAGTATAGCTTCGTATAGATTCCTGCAGATTCATAACAGTCCCTGTGCCTAAATACTCCCACATGGATTAGGAGATGGATGCAAGGATTTTTCCAGTCCAAACACAGAGATCAATACCTCTCTATGCTTAGCTCTGAATATGCAGTGTGTGAGAGAGAGAGGGACTCAATGTATGGAGTGAGATTATACTCAATAATAATTCGTGCAAAAGACATGATGCTCATATGCATATCCCAATTCACATGCATGAAACCTAATTCACATGCACAAATAGACAAGAAAATATTTGTATTTATATATTTTTTCATGCACGTGAATTAGGTTTCATGCATGTGAATTGAGATATGCATGGATGCATCGTGTCTTTTGCGTGAATTATTATTGAGACTAATCTCGCTCCATACTTTTGTTCATCTTAATGAAATTTGCAACAAATTTGCAAAAATACATCACAATCATTGATTATGTGAGAAGACTTAAGTGACTGCTACATTACACATTTCCTTTTTTACATGCAGGTGCAGTCTGACAAAGGAAAACAAGGGAAAGAAGAGAAAACAATAGAGGGTAGAGAAACAGACAATACTTTTTTGACAAAAGACTTTGACTCTGAGAAGACAAAACAATTTGTTATATATATACAGTATATATATATATATATATATATATATATATATATATATATGCTACTCAGTTTGGTTCACTAGGCTACACAATCATGGGGAAGACTGCTGATCTGACAGGTGTCCAGAAGACAATCATTGACACCCTTCACAAGGAGGGTAAGCCAGACATTCTAATTTATTGAGATGCACCTGTATATATAGCCTGAAAAACAAGCTTATTAAACGCTATTTGAGCATTAGAAACAGCATTCAATTCAGATTCTGTTGCTGATTTGAAATAGGGGAGATTTTGAGATTTCAGGATTCCCCCATTCATTTAGATAGGACTTGGTCTTGTTTGAGCTGCCAGGGGCCGAGTGAATGGACTTTCATTGAAAGGGACTTTGCCCTGGACCAGGTTAGCTGTGCATTGTAAGTTACTATAGCAACATACGCAGAAAATTTGATATTCATGACTAACAAATATTCTGATTGTAATTATTATTTTTTAAATAATAGTGAACATGAAGTTGTGTGAAGTCATGTGTATTCAAGGTGTAGGGCAAATAGTTGAGTGCTTTTCATTTAATTGTTACATGTATGTTATATGTGTACAGTATATGGACTCTGATGTTGTGATCTTTTCTAATTGTAATGGGCTTGAATTTTTTTTTTCAACCTAACAGGTGCGCATCTTTGTCAACCAGCTGTACGATCCGGCTTACATATCATCAGGCAAAAGTCCAGACTATCGCAGTGATCTCCTGGCCATTAGATTCGCCTCCTTCAACCCTATCCTGGATCCATGGGTGTATATTCTGTGCAGGAAAAACCTATTAACCAAGGGTTGCACACGACTCAAGCGTACTATTAGACTGAGGAAAGGGGATCATAGTCGTGTTTTGGGTTGGATGGATGGTCAGCACTCACCTCCGTCATTTGCTCAAAGCAATTGCACAAGTTATGCGTCGTTGCGCACGGCCATCTGTAGAAATGACGTGGGTAAACAGACCACCACGAACACTAAATCTTATGTGGACTTAACCCTTCGCCAGGCATGGGACTTTGATACAGCTCTGGCTGAGTTTCATCCCTTCAGCGTCGAGCAAAACGGTGTTATGGGGTTTGATGAAGATGAAGGAGAATCAAGCCCCACACTCCTTGCCAAGAATGCTGTGGCACTACCAAACACTCAAATATTAGAAAATAAGGCTGAAATAGTAACCTGCACTTTCAGTACACCTAGTTCATGTGTATCAGAAAAGTGCCTGAGACAATGACCTAGATGCCAATCTAGATTTATTCTTTAAAGCACTGTGATAAAAAAAGACTTGTTCTTTTGTCTGTGTTAGTTTACATTCACTAATAATTCTGTGAATTTGCTTTATTTAGGAATCTGGAATGATCCAACTTTAGGATTAAACCATAAGAGGAGGCACTACGTTTAGTCAGATAACATGGGTGTGTTTTATGTGTGGGTATGGATATGTTGCTTCCTTCTACCGTGCTGTGCCATGCTACATGCTGGGTTGCACTTGACTGTGACTTGTAAAACTGTGAATAATTTATTAAAGGTGCAATTTATTTTCATCACATGCAAGAGTATAACTGACCAACAAACACTTACCATTTTGATACAGCTCTGGCTGACTTTGAGGTCCCTCAATCATT